ACATACATACATACATACATACATACATACATACATACATACATACATACATACATACATACTACCGGTTAAAAGTTTAGTCTCACTTGTATTTATTTCGAAATTTTCAAAAATAGTTCAATGTTTTTGACTTAAACATACGATTTATCAAACATAATCATAAACAAACATCTCTAAACTCTGTTTTCTTTTAAAACTGTTCATTATTTTTTCATTTTGTATCTAATCTGTAGTTGATAACGAAATGAACGAAAGTGCATGTAAGTACCTATTCTGAAACGAGTGTAATTTATTTAAAAAATTTTATTAATTCTTAGTTTATAAACAATTTACTTTTCATCTTCTTTTATGGGGTTAATTATTAGTTATGTTCACATACATGACAAATTTTAAATATTGATATAATAGCCTTAATTAGCCAGAATAACTGGTACATATTAAAAACAACAAAAAAATTTTTTTTATGCAATTTACTACAGAAATATGAGTCAAAACCAGAAATAAGTGTGGAAACACGTGCAGTAATTATTGCACTCCATGCAGAAGGCTATTCAAGTAGACAAATTGCCTTTAAAACTAATGTTTCTCAGACCATTGTTGTCAGAACTTTGCAAAGGAAGAAAGAAACTGGCCAAAATAAGAGCAGCCAGCGATCAGGGAGACCTAGAATAACGTCCAAAGGTGAGGATAAGTTTATCCGCCTTCAAATTAAGCGACAGCGGACTCGAACAGCACCAGAAATCAATGAGGAATTGAATGCTACTCGGCAGAAAATTGTGTCAGTATCTACTGTACAACGTCGACTTCGTGACTATGGTTTAAAAGGTTGTGTAGCTGCCACGAAACCTCTTTAAAAAAACAAAATAAATTAAACGACTGCAATGGGCTAAAAAACATGTTACCTGGTCTTTAGAACAGTGCTCAAAGGTTTTGTTTACGGACGAAACAAAATTTGAATAGTTTGGAAGCAAACGAAGGCAGTATGCTTGTCGTTTAGTTGGTGAACGTATGACAAGTCAACTACCAACTGTGAAGCATGGTGGAGGTTCAGTCATGATTTGGGGATGTTTTGCCGGTGTTAAAGTTGGAGATCTTGTAGGAATAGAGGATATTATGGATAAAAAATATTATCACAGAATATTTTGCAGCTTTACGCCTTTCCATGTGGACAGAGAATCATTGGTCAAGGATTTGTTTTTCAGCAAGATAACGATCCAAACCATTCATCGAAATTGTGTACGAACTATATTGCATCAAAAGAAAAGAAAAAAGTACTGAAATACATGGATTGGTCCCCTTAATCCCCTGATATTAATCCTATTGAGCTATTGTGGGATGAACTCGATAGAAATGTTACAAAAATGAGATGTACCAATCAAAACAAACTTTGGGAATCTTTATTTAGTTGCTGGAACCAGATTTTAGCTAGAACATTACAAAAACTAATAGAAAGAATGCCAAAAATATGTGCTGCTGTGATAAGGGCTAAAGGAGGATATTTCGAAGAATCCAATATTGGACGAAATTCATAAGTTATGCATAAAATTATAGTTCTTACTATATAAGCGTACCTACATTTCTTAAAATAGGGTTAATTTAATGTAATTTTCAGTTTAAAAGAAGTCATTTTTAATTGTCCATTTTTAAAAATTCAAGAGTGAGTCTAAACTTTTGACCGGTAGTGTATATATATATATATATATACATATATATATATANTTATTGTTTTAACTCTTTTAGAATTTTTAAGCCACTTTAAAATCACAGAGCAAAATATTCACATCTAATCCGTATTTTTTTTTCAATTTTTATACTTTCAACCATTGTTTTAAGAAATAAGCGTCGCTAAATTAGAAATCAAGTTAAAATATGGTAAACCAAGAATTTGAGTAAGTGTTAAATAAGTTTTGAAAATATCTCAATTAGTAAATTTTACCAAAACAGTGATATATATATATATATATAAACACACAAAATAATAAAAGAAGAGAGAATATAAAGAGAAAATATAAGAGAAAAATGGGAAAAAAATTTTTTACTTCATTTCACCTACTTTCAATCATTACTACCTTATAATAAATGAATACATCATTAAAAGGATCTGATACGCATAATAATAAATATTTCATTTAGTTTTCGTTTCATATACATTAATTATTTTATTTACCTATAAATGGACTTCACCAAGACGAACCGATTTTATATAAAAAGAAATCTTTACTTTCCTATTATATTTGTTGTAATTCCTTCTGAGTATACTTATCCATCACCAAAGAGTTCTGATTTAAACAAAAAAAGAAATTCTGCATTATCCACATTTTTAATTTTATTTACTTATGGGAGCACATTTACTTTTGTAATCACCAGGTGGAAAACCCAAAGAATAGTAACATCAATAGATTCTCCTTTTTACACCATCTATCAAAAGAAAATTTTGAACTCTTTCATATGCATGAAATGATTCACAAGAAAATGAATCAAAGTTAGATAACAAAGCAAACTGCCTTTTGACCCTTCGGATGAGGGGTAGAGGGTTTTGCTAATTTGACCTCCCCCCATCTCTCTGCCAAAGGAAGATTGAAAAGCTCTTTTGTACTGTAACAATGGGATGGGTAGCTGTAATGACACTGGATCTGAAACTTCACCACCTTTTATAACGAGCTAGTTTTTACAGTGTAAAATACTACTATGGTGTTTACACTGTACCCTGTGCTGAACAGTTTACATATCATATTAAGAATGGCAATATTTCACATTGTTATTTTTACTTTTTACACTTTGTTGAGAATTGGTTACAAATTTTAAGGGCTATTATTTAGTTACACCAAAAAGATTTCAATGGAAAATATTTTTATATCTGATTTCAATGCTGAAAAGCGAAAAACGTGGATACTTTTCTTTTTACAATTCTAACCTCTTAATTTTGTAAAGCGATGTGTGGGTGACACTGGCTAATTTATCTTCTGCTAGTTGTGGAAATCCTGCAGTTTACTTCAAAGTATTGCGCCTTTTGATCATGGTGCCTTATTCCTCTACTTAACAACTTGCTATTAAGATAAAAGTTCACTGTTGTCAATGATGCAAAACGTGCAATGATTTCACGTCATTTTATTTTCTCCTAGCAAAAAAATTGTTGATTAAACATTTCAGTCATCGACTTGTTGTTCAGTCATCGACATTCCGGTCTGCTCTTCATAAAGAGTGGAGGGAATCTGCGGGATAAAGTAGTCTAATCAAATTTATTATTTTAAATTGAAACAGTTGTTCAAAATAAATAAAGCAGAGGTAACATTTTTAACATTATATTTTTTTTATTTGTTTCAGTTATTTTATTGCTGTTTTATCTTTAAATATGTGTTTTTTTTTTTTGCTTATAACATCCAACTCGCTATAACAACACTTTTATCTGCTGTTTTAAATTATTGTTACAATGGAATGTTATATACTGGCCACTTTGGGTGAGCAACTTGGTCACCTTTCAAAATAATCTTTTACAGTTTATAAACTTTAATAGTAACCAAGCCAAATACACAACACAACTTATTAAACGAAATTTTTTCACCGTCCAGATAGTATGATTTAAATTTTATTATTTTTAGGTTATTAGTTTCCTGACTCGCCAAGTGATATTGATTATATTATTCGTGATTTAAGATTAAAGAGTCGTAACAGTTTCGTATTAAAAATATCGGAAATTCAAAAATTATGCAGAAATCCATGGACTAAAAATCGATCGAAAAATCGAGTGAACTCACGACGAAGTCGGCGCAAAGTACCATATATTGTAGAGAGTGTGTCTCAAAAATACTAAAACACTCTTTAATTTTTTAATTGAAACTATTAATTGTAAAAGGATCAAAATGGAATGTGCCAATAGTTAATTCGTACTTAAGACTATGTCGGTGGAACTGTTTTATAAATATTTTTCCAAGAGTTAACTGAAAATTGAAAAGCAATAAATAAAAAATACCAAAACAGTGCGATATTTATTATATTTCACAAATAAGTTTCCATCCATATTCCAAAAGCTGCAATAATACACATTTCTCCCTATGAATACCGGAAATATTTCAATAATTTTTAAAATTAATTTAAATTTAATTTCAATTTTTAAAAATCATTCGCTTCGGGCTTTATTTCAATGGTAAAACTCAATTCAATGGACTTTGGGCTTACAATAACATACATGAGTTTAGTGGAGGAACCAGGTAGGTGAGATTTAATGGGACAACATTGTTTTTGCTCTTACTCTAATTTTAACTTGACTAATTTACATTACTTTTCAGCATACTCGCCTGATTTTTATTTCAAATTAGGAAAGCAGTGATAGATTAAATAAGGTAAAGAAATATAAGGTCCCACCTTCTAATATATCTATAATAAAATTTTTTGAATATTTGTTGTTTATATACGTATATATATATATATACCCTTAGGAAAATTTGCCATAGGTTTGCCATAAAAAATGCCATAGGATATTCCTATGGGGTTTTGCCTATGGCAAAAATTTTGCCATACACTTTTGCCATACATGTATGGCAAAATTTTGCCATACGTATATGGCAAAAGTGTATGGCAAAATTTTACCATAGGCAAAACCCCATAGGAATATCCTATGGCATTTTTT